TCTTTCAATAAGACAGTTAGCAAAATACTGACACCTTTAGTTTTTATCAATTTGTAATACAATAACAAATTGTGGGGAAGGGTGTTAATGTCCCTCCTCTGTGTATGCCACTGCTTGCCCTGTTTAAGTTAAATCCATATCTTTTTTTTTTTTTTTTTTTTTTGCTATTTTCTGTAACTCGTAATTTTTAAGGAATTAGTAGAATGTATGTATAGTATGTGTAGCGCACAGAGTTTAAATATTTTTAAAATAAAATCCTAAGCTCAATCATAAGTCCACTTGTCATGAGTAATGTTGCAACTTTGGTACAGTTTGTTAACAACAGGGCTTTTGGTGATGTTTAAATAATGAGAACCTTGATAATAAGCATGTATCATAGATAATTCAGATACCTTTGTTTTCACAACTCCCCCCTCCCAATTTTTCCAAACATGGGAAACTTTTCACATGTTTACTGCAAAACATGTTTATTCTGTCTTAATTATTATATTTTTCACTTTGTCATAGGCTTTTACTGCTTTTTAGCCAATAAAATATGAGACAATTCATTAAAATAAAAATCAGATTTTTTGAAAAATTTTGGTAAAAAGTATAAGGAATTTTTGCTAAAAAAGAAACTCAACAATTCTTCTTTACGATATTTATTATTTTGGTTAAATTTCAGAATCAAGATATTCAAAAATTATTAAAATGAAAGATGAAGACATTTTAAAGTACAACAGATGGAAATAAAATACTAATATTCTAAAAAACAAAATTTTGATATGCTATTATTTTTATGACACTGTAAAAACATTCTCATGTCTGTTAAAATAATGGTCACAAATTCACAAATCAAAGTTTATCACTTTGATCTTAAAATTGATCAATCTGATAAACTTTGATTTGGTAGACAAATTGATCTTTAAGTTGTCAAAATTTGATTAATCGTCAAACTTGGCAATGCACAATAACTTGGCAAAAAGGGAAAATGATTGTTTTTTCCACAACAGAGAGAGCAAGTTTAAATGGTAACCTGAGTTTCTGTCATTAGTCATGTTCTTTAAATACAAATCTGGTGAAAAACTGCCAAAGTGACCAAATTTTTTAGTGCCCTTACAAAAATATGCAAAGATTGTAAAAGATAATTTTGTGCATACAATTTTAAAACTAAAGTAATACCCTTAAAACTTATGAAAAATTCATGGAAGTTGTCAAATATGCTTTAAATTTTGCAAGAAGCTAGAATCTGACAGAAAAATTGTCTCAGCCAACTTACTGTAATTCCTATTTTATTTATTCATTTTTATTTAATAGGTTATTGTTTCTTCAAAAAAATATTCTAGATTAGGCATGTCTAACTCAGTATCTCAAGTGGGCCAAACAATGTGCAATAGTGTGAGCCGCAGCCCTGCCTTGAGCAAGCACGACTGCTTTGAGAAGACAAAGTTCATACGGAAAAGTTGTAACACTGACAAAAAACATATTGCCTCAGACAGGGTTTAAGTTAAACTTTGTTTTCTTTCAATTAGTATTCCGAAAATACTAATAAATTAATACAGAATAAAGTGTGATATATTTCAAAGCATAAAGAATTATTAGATTAGGTTAGTTGAATATGGCAAAACACATGAGGGCTATCTGCCGAAAAGGGGGGATTCCTTTCTTTCAAAGGACGACTGGTTCATATAAATGTTACACATGTAGAAACCACAAAAACAAATTATGCCACCAGACTGTTCACCTGGGATTGAACTCTCAGTCGACTTATACACAGAATGGAACATACAGTGAAACAGCGATCATTGAAACAATTTTAGTTTGTAATGTAGGTGTAGATTTGGGTAATGTTCAGTGTCATTTTTTATTACGTTATCAGCATTACTGCCATTATCGGAGGTGGTTGCCATGACAGGCTTTGTTGCACATGTAATCTGAAACACTATTTGGGAAATACTACAAAAATTATTACAGTTGAACTTACTTATAACAAGTATGAAAGGACCACAATATCTGTTTGTTATAAGTGTCATTTTTTATTATGTTATCAGCATTACTGCCATTGTTGTTTGACTTCTGAATTATTACTGCCATTATCGGAGGTGGTTGCCAAGACAGGTTTGTAGCATGTTGCACATGTAATCTGAAACACTATTTCGGAAATACTACAAAAATTATTACAGTTGAACTTACTTATAACGAGCATGAAAGGACCACAATACCTGTTTGTTATAACCAAATGCTTGTAAAAAATGGGTTTGTGAAAACATCACAAAAATTCCTATGCACATAGTTAATATTACATATAATTTATTATTTTTTATTTCTGCATCATACACAAGTTGGTTGATTTGCTTTGAACAGCTTTATTGTCTCTTGTGTTACTGCTCTTTGGAGAAAACTCAGAGCCCAGAAAACATAATTTGCAGCCCTAGCTTTGGAAAGAATTAAAAATTTTTCTGTGCACTCAAAAGCCATCGAGTATGTTGGGGATGGTTTAGCTTGAAGTTCTTCACATTCATCATTATAATCTTTCCTTTAATTATTTTTTTCATCTGCTTTAGCTTGAATCTTAGCTACAATATCCTCAAGAGCAGGTATCATGGAAGTGATAATATTGGCATCAATATATATATAATTTTTAAATTCTTCACAACTCATTTCCAGATTTTTCAAGATGTTTACTTCTTTACACATTGATTTGCCCCTCTTGAGTAATGTTCACTCCAGATTTACACTGGTGTGCAGTGTTTGAGACGGTTTTTTCAATATAACTTTGTACAAAAGCTTTCCAAATCAACACATTTAATACCGTAAGATCCCCAATACGTAAGGATATGAGTAATGTAAACAACACTTACTAAAAGAGAAATCAGAGGGATAAAAAGAAGAAGATAGTGTCTGAGTAATCCTGCCGATGCTACTTTATTGAAAAAGTAGCATGGAGCGCAATGCGACAGAAGGCCGAAACATACCTGTGATGGGTGTCCAGCAAGAAACATCCGGTCTTTAATAGGGGATATGATCTCCCCTGACTGCTAGACAGGTTTCACAGCGTCTGCCCATGCTGAGAATGAGGGTGACAATGAGTTGTTGAGGCATTGCTGCCCATTCGTCTTACTGCGCCAATCGAAGCTCCGGAATCTTTACTGGTAAGGTACGAGCTGCCAAGCGTCTGCCTAGAAAATTCCATACATGCTCGATGGGATTGAGATCCGGAGATCGTGCCGGCCAATCCATACGTTCAATATCCTCACTTTCTAAGAGCTGTTCGGCAGCTACTGTGCGATGACATGGTGCATTGTTGTCCATGAAAAGGAACTGTGGACCCATAGCGCCTCTAAAAAGACGCACATATGGAAGAAGAATCTCGTTACAATAACGGGTCCCGTTGACTGAATCTGCGTCGAAGATGTGAAGGTCTGTACGACTACCAAGCATGATGCCTCTCCAAACGAGAACACCGTCACCTCCATACCTGTCCCTTTCAATGATGTTCGAGGGATGATTGCGGCTTCCCCGCTCTCTCCAGATGAGTATGCTACGAGAATCGCTACTCAGACTGAATCTGCTCTCATCTGTAAAGAGTACTCGTCCCCATTCATTGTCTCCCCAATTCCGGTGTTCCCGGCACCACAGAGAACGCCTTCTCCGATGGGCAGGCGTTAGAGGTACACACCATACAGGGCGTCGTGCAAACAGACCACCACCGTGCAGTCTTCTGGCCACGGTAAAACGCGATATCGGTCGTCCAGTCGCCTGTGTCGTGTGTCTAGCGATTTCTCCTGCTATCTGCCGCCTGTTTCTTCTGGCCTGTAAGGCAATATACCAGTCATCTGAGGGTGTGGTTCCTCGTGGACGACCAGTACTAAACCCCCGGATAGCTATTCCTGTAGTTTGAAATTGTCTCCAAAGTCGGAAACGATGCTGTGAGCAATTCCAAACTCTGCAGCCACACTTGTCACACTGCGGTCTTCCTCCAACTTCCCAATGATTCGACCTCGGGTAAAAGCATCCAGATGTCGTCTAACAGATTGATTATTCGCCATTTCTCGCTTAGGCAGCAACTCGGTGTGATTTTAACTGCTATATGGCGTGCAATCTCTTTGCCAGAAATACTGATCTTACGCCGACATGCTTTATACTACTCAGACACTCTCCCATTACATCTACCTGCATATCTGCACATGTGCTACCGTACATCACCTTACTTAATCTCCTGATTGGTCTTTCTGTCCGCTCTGCCTCTTCGTTCAGCTAATATGGTAATTTTTCGACTTCGTCCTTAATTTTTGCACACCAGTGTATGTAAACAGTTGCAAATGCATGTTGATGTAATGTTTTCCCATGCATTGTTCCCGCATTGCTTCGAGTACGTTTACATTTGAGGTTGATCTGTTTTTTTCTCTTCCAGTGAGAAGCATCAAAAATCAAGTTTGATTTAAAACTTCTGATGATCCCTTGGTCTATAGGCTGGATAACACTTGTCGAACTTGGTGGCAAAATTTCAATCCCAAACACTCCCTGGGATAAAAATGGCCACCCTTGTGTGTCGCAGGATTTACGATTCATCACTAACTTTCGGTTAATTTAAGAATGTTAAAGAAATTAGCAAGGAAGGATTAGCTGGGCTGAGAGGTGGAGGTCAATACAAATTTTACGAACCACAAAAATATTGCTCACCACAATCGAGGTTTGCTTGTTAAAACAGAGTTATGATCCTATAGACTTGCCATTGTACCAACCAAGTATTTTCAATTTCGTCATTATTCTGAGTTCTTGTTAAATCAGAGCTCATTATAAGCAAGTTGTATTGTACTTCTAAAGTATTACTTCAGACAAACTAGATTACAGACATTTAAGAGCTCTTTGCCTGAAATTCAAGTTGTTAAAAATGCATAAAGTGATGGTTGTTCAGAATACATGTTAAAGAAATAAGTTATTTGATTAACAATTTCAGAATTTTTGCACAAACATAAATATTTTTACATAACTGTATTTCTGAAAGAAAATTATCTTACTTGCATTAAAAGATACATGTGTACCTGGAGCAATACAAACATCAACCTACCAGAGACAAAAGTTAAAAGACATTAATTAAACGAAATAAAGAATCATAATAATCATAAACAAAATTAATTTACTTCATTTAAGCTCATGTTGTTATTAATATCAGGAAATATTTGCACTATTAACATTTTGAAATACTAACAAGAGAATGTTAGCTCAAAGTCAAATAAATAAACAAGCAAACACTTCTAATCAGCACTGGCAGAGCTCTATGATTATTCTATAATTTTCATGTAATTTTTAAAGATTTTGCATAGCTGCAGTAATAAAAATATGATTATTAGCTTTATTTTATTTCATTACACTCAAAACTATCCATTATATAGGCAATCTTAACTGTAACTAATGTTGAATGTGGATCTGTGTTAATTTTTGCAAGCAATCATCATTTGCTGCTACAAAGGCTGTTTGCACATTTTTTAGACGATTTTGCTTTGCTGTAAAAAAAAATCTGCTTGGAACTTTTTTAATCTGCAACTATGTTTTTGAAAGCATAAATTATCATCAGCTACCTGACAATTTTGTTTCATGGAAAATGTTGCTTTTAAAGAAGCAATGGATGGAAGGCTATGTTTGGTTTCTTTTAGAGGAAAATTATTTGTATCTAGTTATTATAAAAGGCTGTAAAAGCCATGGTTTTTCAATATATAATGCTATGACAGGTAATACTGTCCACAAGAGAGAAAAAAAATGTCAAAGTTTGGCTTCAAGGAGAAAAATTGTTCCAAACACATATCTAAGGGAAAAAAAAAAAAAAAACAGAGTGTTTTGAACATTGCAAAGGTAAGAAAGCTCCTTAATGTTAAAAGAAAAACCTGCCAAGTCAAAGGAGAATTGCAAAATCGTTAAAATGCTTAATGTCAACTGGAAACAAACTAATTTATGTCTATTTAAATGTAAAAAGGGCAGAAAAATATAATGTGCCTCTTCTTGCTACCCCACATATCACCATACGCAAAGCACGGTGCAGCATTTTTCATAAGAAACATTTGTCTGGACAAAAATGGAAAAATATTGCCATAACAGATTAATCTTAGATGTATTTAAATAATACAATGAAAAGAAATACATTTATTATCATCAAAGAGGAGAAAAACTTTTAAAAATGGTCCAAAGAATCTAAAGCAAGTTTTTCAAAGGGATTTATGATTGTTGCTGGTTTTTGATGTGACAAATAAAAATTAAAGAGAGTGGAGAAATCTGTTAAGATCAACTACACATATTATCAGGAACATATTTTATACCCAATTTTCAAATATGAATTTTTAATAATTCTCTTTACACACAGTGCCATCAATAAATCAAACTTCATCAAGACAAATCAAGCAGTCACACGTCAAAATTCACTATTCATTTCCTAGAAAAAGTGAAACAATAAATGCATATCATATCACTAAATCACCCGACAATTACCTCATAGATATTTGTGCTTTTGGACGTTTAAAAAGTGGATTGTCCAAATGTCGACATACAATACTCCTTAGACTTTGGAAAGCTGCTCAAGAAGAATGGTATAAAATACTTCTTCCAATACTACGAAAGGCTTTGTCTTGGAAATTATGGTGCAGAAAGATAGTGAAGAATAAGGGTTATCAAATAAGAGCATTTAAAACACAAAACGTTTGGGTAAAAATATCTCTGTAAATTCATTGAAAATCATCTAAAAATGTGCAAACTGCATCTGTATTTGTTACCATTTGTAAGATCAGGCAGTATTTACTCATAATTCAAAAATCCAATAGTACACCCACACTGAAATGAAAATTTAAATATTTATTTGATTTAATAATATAACCAATTTTTTACTTGTCATTAATATAAAAAATATTTTCATGTATTTGATAAATTGTTAATACAGTACAAAGTCCAAAATCCAGAATGATCTAAAATCCGGACCGCAAAACTGCCAACAAAGTTTTTCTCCTAGGCCTTATGCATGCACATATGAGTCCCCCCCTCTTTGCATAATATAACATCTGGAGGGTCCCGATTCTTAATTTCACTTCGACACTAAAATAAAATACCTTGTTATTGAAGAAACAATCATTTTAGCATAAATTTGTACCATGAGTAATTTGGCTCCGTTGCTGCGTATATATGCTTTCCTTTATCACCGATTGTTTATCAAAACGTGACAACTTGAGTAATGACTCATGTAGCAATGCCTAAACAATTTTTTACGTTAGTAATTGAATAATAAAGGAGTACGGTAAACTTTTATGTTGATGATGAGCGTTTTTATGGTTTTGCGACGATTACAGATTTAAGTTAAAAAGTGCTAAAAAATATTGGCGAGGAAAAATTTACCAAAAATTTCTTTCCATATGCTAAAAATAGATTTTGTTGAGGATACTCATAGACCCAAAAATTACATTTAGGGCTATCTGAATTAAGGAAAACTGATTTGTTATTCACATAAACCCAGAACCAGCGCCAGAGCTCGTATGGCCGCACTGAGTCGCAGAATTTAAGATCCACAGAGACTGCATCAGGCGGTAAGATATCTAGCGTCGGCCCTCAATAAGGCTTAAGTATATGTGGGACTTTATTTATTCAGAGCTCTGATAAGCCTTAAGCATGTGCTAGAAATAGACATAAATACAATAAATAACTAAACAATTCATACTTAATTGTCTCAGTGCACGATAGAAGCAAGATAAAATTTAACAGAACAACTTGTCGTTAGTTGCCAAGCTCATGATACATAGCCAAATACGTAAAGTGAAGGATAGCTAGATTTTATGATGATAGCCGTGAATTTTAAAGTTTTTTTTTTTTTCCCAGATATCGCAAAAAAAAAAAAAAAAAAAAAAAAAAAAAAAAAAAAAAAAAAAGATTAAATTTTCCAATTAATGGATTTTGTAGAGAAATGTGGAGAAGCGGTAATAAATAAAGATGATATAAAAGAAGTTTTTCATTGTGATGACAAGGCTTCTCAATCATCAGTCAATTAATGAATAGCGAAATCTATAGTGTATGGTTCTAGATCCAGAAAATACCACTACCGATAGTGAAGAAAGTGACCAGAGAAAGTTACACTGAAAACGAGAAAATTTCGATTGACAAGTTAGTCGGAATTCTCCAAACAGCAGGTTCCAAGGACTTCAACTAATGTAACTGAAACAAGAGATTATGTCTGTCTACAGGAATTAAAGAAGAAAGTATTATCACAAAAAACAAAGCAACTTAAACAACTTACACTTGAAAGAAATGTTTAAAAAGGTAAACAAATAAATATTAAGTTTTTTTTTTAAAATTTTGATACCCTTTAGGTCAAAAATACTTCATTATTTCAAAAATCAAGATTTCATATTTTTAATTTTATAATTTCCACATGCCATCTTACTAGATTTAAACTGATGATTTAATATCCGGAAAAATCCCAAATCCGGAATCGCCAAAGTCCCAACGAGTTTGGATTTCGTTTGGATTGCTACTGTAGTTGATTGTTAATAGCAACAAAAGTGATTAATTCAAAATGAGTACAAGAATAAAAATTAAAAATCATTAAAGAATAACTATATACATCAAAATTTTTACTTCATGTTTAACAAACTAATATACTTTAAAAGATTCAGTATTCAAAAGGAGACACTTTACTTTAAAATGTACAGGTAGTATTCTTAGCAGCTGAACTTTAATACTTAAGCCAATCAGTGTCGCCATACTACAATGGGGAATTGTCGGCTTGAATTCAACAAAACAGTGATTATTTTCTTCAACCTATAAGAAATAAACGTCTAAATTTAATCAATTTTAGGTTGGTACTTTCACCAGAGTGATTTACTGCTAAAATGGATGAATGAAACATCACAACACATTATTAAATCTGCACTTGTTTTTATGGAAAGATGATTAATCCTCAATAAACCAGTACAACTGCTGATTTTCTAGTTAAATGAATAGCAATCTGTTTCTTCCAAACTGCCATAAGACTGGTACAAATTTGAGCTCATATTTATTTAAGTCTCTTTTAATGTAGTATCTGTAACTTTTATCTTCCGCTTATCTAACTAAATAAAAATTTATTCCTGCAAACTTAGTTGGAATGACTGACAAGATCTCTGTTAACTTTCATGGTCAACTAGAAATAAGTATGTAGATTTTAACTCAAAATAAAAAATAAAAAAATAACATAATCACATATTACAAATATAATGCAATTAAGATATTAGATACAACAAAGAAAATCTGATGGACATGTTTGCTATGAAGCTTATTAAAAAACAGAGAGCACAGAAGCTATAAAAGCATACAAAAAACAAGGCATTTTCTGATTACTTAGGAGGCTCATAAATAATTTCCAATACTAAAAGATAAAATTACATAAAATACATAATTTATTGTTAATACTGAAATTAAATTTTCAGCAATTAAATACCAAAGCTCATTTCCTTAAGAGCTCTGGCAGGAATTACAATAATTTTCAAAAAAATAAATAAGTATTAGAGCTCTGCACTAGCTGAATTTAAGCTCTGCTTCTAATGTTGACAGTAGTATGCAGAGAATAAACAGTATCATTTTAGTTACTGATAGAGAAATAATTTATCTTAAAAACTGGTTGTCTGCTATGACCTAAACCTTGGGTATCAGATAACATGGTACGTTTGATGTAATTTCTTACTACTATGGTTTTCTCTTTTAGAAAATTTTTCAAATCTAAATTTGATTGTCAGACTACACAATTATAATATATACGGCATAAAAATGAATGTGAAGCTACCAGTTTTGTTAGCCATATATCTTCTAGTTAACAGCTGGTTAATAATACAAAGTAATAACTGTAGAAGTCCAAAAATCCCTACTGCCTCTCAGAGGTCAACAATGAAATGTAAATTCTGTTAACACCTTAACTACCACGGGCGTATATACACGCCTTGCTTAGCTGATGCGTTAACTGCTCCGAGCGTATATATACGCCCTTCCAAACTACTATCATTTGCTTTGCGCTGCTACCCGTAAAATTATTCTTAAAGCTTTGGAATGCAACACCACAATAACCTTGACAAAGTATGCGAAGGAGGATACTATTTCAGAGAAGTATGGAAAGAAGGGTGTGTCTAAAGCGGTGAAAGTAATGACTGCGTGGTGTTGGCTGGTGTTGTTTGAGTAAAACTTTTTTTTTTTATTATTCTGTGTCCTCCATTTTCATTTACTTTTTGTAGTAGGTTCCAGAAATAAAGAAAGATATAACGGATGTTCCAAACGCATTTATCTTTTTTGAATTATTTTTTGATGAACTGCTCAAGATTCATATTGTTACTGAAACTAATCGTTTTGTAGACAAGTACATGAACTAACACCTTGCAAACGAAAAATCAAGAACAAAATCGTGGCATTCAACCAGTTCAGAAGAAATATATGCTTTTTTAGGCACACCGATTTCACAAGATATAACACTGAAACTTGATATTACACTTTACTGGTCTAAAAATGAATTGATTGAAACTCCATTTTAGGGCTCTTTTTTATTATAAAAACATCATTTTTATTACTTTTAATACTTATATCCTTTTATATACTTTTACTCAAAACATTAAATTTTATGCATTCATTTTTTTTTCTTTTATTCTTTATTTTGTGAAAGTAAACAGTTTTAGAAAGTAAAACTTGCGCTTATTTTTCCCCTAATACATCGCATAACTACGTGTGCCTGTGTGAAAAACCATAGCACTGGGAAATGAATCTTGTACGTTTTCCACAGCAGTTAAGGGGTTAATGCAGCAAAAGTCTAAATGTATACAAGCACATCAAAAACAGCAACCTTACACTGTGGACTGTGCCAAATTTTTTTTATTCAACCCATTTTGATCCAGACAGATTTTTCACAGATATTTTGGCAGAAGAACCAAGATGGATTTTTTGATATGGCAAATGTCAAATAATGAAGAATCTAGCATTAATATCTTAGGGGAAAAGGAAAGTTCCATAATGAAGAATTCTTTTCAAATAACCATAATTATATTTCCAAGCTACAATGCATCTTGGATGCACCGCAAGGGTTGCCATTAATATTTTAGGCTACATTTTCCACCAATATTTTATGCTTGGTGATGACTATGACCCTGTTATAAGAAAAATATTTGAATTTTAGGGAATTGTTTTTGGGGTTGGCACTGGCCATTTTAAGGCTTTTGCCACTACATAAATGGGCAAAGCAATCGTGGAAAATACACAGAACAGCATGTTCCAGATAATCAGAAAGTTAGACAAATAATCAAATTTAAATAAAAATCAGAAAAAAAAAATAATATGACAGTGCTATTGGTTACTTATAGACATGGCTTACATTCAGATGAAGTCCACTGCAGCCCGAGTCTGGTATTTCTCAGTTTCTGACTGAAACTGAAATTCCAGCGAAAACTCAGATAAGGTTGGATATTTTAATTTAATAAAATATTTGTCATTAATTTAACTTAATTTATTAACTTTTTATTTGTCTCTTTATATTTCATCTAATTTTTGTTATTAATTAGCTACAAAATTGTTCCCTTGCCCCATGACTTTTCATATGGTTCTGGCACTTCTAATTTTAGAAATTAATCTTTACTTAAAGGACAAAATTAAGAATTGATTTTGAAAGTAATCAATTCAATACTTGACAAATTTTATGGTATTAAAATAAGCCAAAAGTTATATAATATATCCACTCCCTACCAATTATAATATGGCTTATATGGTCAAAGATGATGTCCATAGATTTTTAATATAACTTTTACATACTGTAAACACTTTTACACAGTATGTATAAGTTATATTAAAAATTAGCAGTTCACAAAATTAAAAAAAAAAAAAAAAAAAATTAGAACAGTAAGACACATCTGAAATTTAACAATTAATGCCACACACCAATCACTGGAGTAAGAAGATGTATGTTGACAGTACAAATACCTGATCACAAATTGAATTCATTGAATTCAAAGCTACGTCAAAAATTCAAGATCAAATAGAGAATCAACACATACATGATTTCAAAATGATGATACACATAACTTAAAAAAGAATTGTTTAAATAAGTAACCATTATGCTAGAGAATAAGAACTGAATCTCTGAAAAGAAATATACAGATGAAATTGGTAGATTAGTTTACTGTAAAATTTTTCAAATTAGCATTGGAAACTAAACATAGCTACATGAAACATCAGAAAAAAAAAAACCCGGGTAGAGTAGACTTTAAGGTACCCCTTGTATTATGGCGAAATTGTTGTTTGATTTATTGCCAAGTTGTTGTTTCATTTATGGTAGCCTCAGTAGTTGAATGTTATGGAAACTCTATTGTGACCTAATCGGGTACATGATTCTGGGAAATTTTGAATCATGGGATGTTTTGTAAGCGTTTTTGTGGTGTGTTTTGATTTGATTGTAGACGGTAGAATGGCCGAATGTAGTAAGATTAATTTGAAGTTTCTGTATGATTTGGAGCGAAAGGGGAAAAGAGCTTTAATTGACTGGTGTGTAAATGAAGGTTTACTTAGTAGCCATTATAAGTGTCCTGTATGTATGAAGGATATGCGTTTAGTCGAACGTAAAAACCGTTTAGATGGATTTGAATGGGTTTGTAGGAAGAAAGGTTCAGATGGTCACTATGCAAAGTGTTCGATCAGAAAGAGTACCTGGTTTGAAAAAAGTCATTTGAGTATGATTGATATTTTGATTTTTACGTGGCTCTGGGTGTACGAAGCGAACTCGAAAATCATGGTAAGTGAATATTTGCTTTTGGTAGTGCTTAAATGTATAACATGTTTCTCCTTTTTTATGTTATTTTATTGTTTGGTTTAAAATGTGTTTTATTGAGATTATGCATTTTTTGTTTGCCTAGATTGTAGAATTTGGTGCTCCTTTGACTTTTTATGTGAAAATATATCGATATGTACATGGACAAAGTAAAGTGAGTGCACAATGCATGTTTGTGCAATTCTGGGTTTTTTTTTAAGTGAAAAAATAGGTCGACGTGTACATGGATTTTTTTTAAAGTGAAAATAAGTCTATGTGTAAATGGATACCGAGTTTGTGCAATTGTTTGTCTTGTTATTTTGGCTTTGTGTAGCGGCGATTTTTAGCGCAAAAAAGCCAAAATAACGAGTTCGCAAGCCAAAATAACGAGTCAAAGAATTGCACAAAATCGGTATCCATGTACCGCCAAAAATCGCCAAGTTTAGCCAAGGGGTACCCTAAACTATACTTTTACCAAAAACCCTAAACTATATCACAAACTTTACTGTCATGATTCGGTAAAAATATATTTCAGGGTACCTCTTGGCAAAAATTGGCAATTTTTTGGCGCCATTCCTGTTTACGTCCAACACCCTCCCCAGGAAAATGGTGTCCAAAACATAATGCAATAAAACACAATTAAAACAAAAATATATAATTTCAATGAACTGCATTTTAAATCAAATAAGGAAATAACATAAAAATGGAAATACATGTTATTTAATCTAAGCAGTACAGAAGGGAAATATCGACTTACTTTATTTAAAAATTTCTGTTCCTTCAATATGTGCGACACAGAATTCCTTAAAAGCATCCAAAAGGCGTCTAAAATTATCTGAACTATAATCTGTGTACTGCTGTCACCATATAAATTCACAAAAATAAGAATCAAATTTAATTCAGTCTTAATCATTTTAGTATTAGCTTCATACATCCACATCCATGTAAATATCAAAATCTCAATAATACTCAAATGACTCTCCTCAAACCATGATCCCTTTCTAATGGAAAGTTTATATAGTGAGCATTTGAATTCTTGCGACAAAACCATTCAAAGCCATGTGATAGATCTTTATGTTTGACCATATGCATTTCCTTCGTACTAGCAGGACACTGATAATGATTACAGAGTAAACCTTCATTTACACAACAGTCAATTAATGCTTCTTTTCCCATTCATTCCAAATCGTACAGAAACTTCAGATTATCCTTATCACAAGCAGCCATTTATGGTGTACAGCACAAAATAAGCAACGTACTTCCTATGCGACACCCAATGCAGAAATAAGCTCTGAGAAATTAAAATCACCGTGATGATGCATTACAACCAATTACATCATAATAGGGTTTCTATAATATTCAACTATTCAGGTTAACATAAATGATACAATAACTTGGCAATAATCCAAGGGGTACTCTAAAATATGGATTAACCAATGATTCTATCACTCACATATACTGGCTTTGCACCTGTGATCACAAAAGTAGTTTCTCACTACCATATTTATACAGATTTTAAAAATGACACAGAAAGAGTTCTACCGTATTTTACAGATTAATGATCAAAATTCTGCTGAATAAGCTAGGCAGATTTATGTTGCTTTATAATGATATTAGATTTTATGACTGCTACAAATACAGAATTAATAACTAAACAAGTGCATGTATAAAATTATGTATGTTTATAATTGCAAAACAAAAAGATACCAATGAAAACAATACCTTAATATCTTGCAAATCTACAACTCCAAGTTCTTCTAGTGTCATAGGATGCTCTGGATCTTTAATATCTCTTATTATATTTAGCACAGTTAATTTAATACACAAATAATACTGTTACTAATCAAACTTCATAAACACAAATTACTCTAAAGTAATACAGTGAAAGACACTTAAAACAAAAAAAAAAAAAAAAAAAAAAAAAAAAAAAAAAAAAAAAAACAGATAAAGAAAAAAAGCTCAAAATAAATTATATTTGATTAAAAACCCTTAAAACTAATACTCAAAATGGTCAGTTAAAATTTTCAATTCATAATATAATATATGAGGAAATTAAAAAATAAAAATTATACATATAAATTTAATATTAAATGTGCTAATCAGTAATAGTACGGAAAAAAATAAACTTAGTTTTTAACATGCTAAATACAATAATTAAGTAAACAGCAAACAAAATTAACAGCAATTTGTGCTAACAAGCAACCATAAAAAAAGGGGGGGGACTTCTCCATGAATAGGCAGCAGTCATTTCAATAAATAAATATTGATGAGAAATACATAAATACTGATGACAAAATGTATCACTGAATATTTTGGTTTCCCTGATGGGATCGCCCAAAACAACGAATGGGGAAGACCAGTTAGGGCCTCGCCTCTTACTTTCTACCTCCATGGCTTCTGCTAATGTGATAAAGCTTTTGGAGGTCTTTCAAAACCAAGCTCTGAGAATCATTACTGGCGGTATTAAAACTACTCCCATGTAAGGGTAACTCCTGTGTAAGCCTTACAGTTTTTGACCACAACTGAGCCCATGATTAATGTGATACAAAGAAGGACTACTGTTCTATATAATAAGCTAGTACAGTCAAAAGTCTTTAATCCGGACTCATCGGGACTTCGGCGATTATCGGTTTTTTTGGATTATAGATCATCAATTTAAATCTGGTAAGATGGCATGCAGAAATTATAAAATTAAAAATATAAAACTGTAATTTATGAAATAAAGAGCAATTATGATCTAAAGGGTATCAAAAATTTACAAAAAAAAAGCTTAATATTTGTTTACTTTATTAAACATTTCCTTCAATTAGTAAGGAATTGTAAGACGAATAAAATAAAAAACATCTGCCCTAAAGAAAAGGATAGTGCTAACAGATCAACTTCCAGTTCATTGCGTGCCCTGACATCCTCCCCTCGCGCAGAGCAGTGTAAAATTGATAAACAGATTTCTTAATGGTTAGAGAAACAAAGGATATGCCTTTATCCATTTTTTTGCAGCAATTCCACTTTTTGTTTGATGGACATCGAAACATGCTTTCACTTTGTAGATTCTTTGGCATCTACAGAATCGGAAATTCTTTTTGATATAATCGAAAGTTCAAGCTTACTTTTATAACATTGCTCTAACAGTCTGCAAAAAATAATAAGCCAGATCCAATTCGAAGATTAAGGAACAACGCAATCTGCAACATTAACTGAAATAGATAATTAGATAATTTTAACTTTGCTTATACCGTCTGTTATACATTAAACGTGCATGCGTAAAGGTATTATGCGCATGCATAGAGGTATTATGCGCATGCATAACGGTATTACGCGCATGCGTGAATGCATTATGGGTTGACGCATGCGCAGAAAGTTTGCAGCTTTGAGGTCTGGATTAAAGACTTTTGACTGTATAAGGCTTCCAAACAATGCCTTTTGGCATGACTATGATTTTAATTCAAAACACAATTTGAAGACTGAAGAGAGGATTTATGCAATGTGACCATGATATTAAACATTACGAAATTATTAATAACTTGCCGATTGAGTTGCTTATTCCTCCTTGCCCATTTCATTACAAAAATCTTGATATGAGGTTGGATCTAACTTGGAAAATTAGAAAGTCAGATCTTCCTCCGGAGGCCTTGCGGGTGATCCTCTGGAGACCATCTATAACTGTTACCCTTCTGATAATTGGTTACATGTGTATATTGATGGTTCGCTTTCTGATTTTTCGTAAGGTGCCAGAGCTGTTATCTTTAGCGAACTTTTCTGTTTTTGCCTTCCTGCTGGAAATTTCACGATTCATTTTGTTGGAGAGATGGAGTCCATTCTTATATCAACTGAACAACGTTTTATATGACAGAACCCCCTTAACTCTTAGAAAACCAAAGCCTTCGCTAACCTGTATGATTAAAATGCTGAAATGGCAGAAATGCCTTTCGAGATTCACAGCAATTTCCTCCCCTCTCCATCCATTGATGCACAAAGAGGTGTGAAGGTTTCAAATGACATCCTTTCTACTTCCTAACAAATAAAGATATGAAACAACAAATAAATTCTTTTAAGACAAGCTGTCTGCAATAGACTGATATAATGCGTTTTGGTAAATTGCACCTGGTAGTGCATAATTTAGGGGGAGGGAAGAAAACAACATCACTGTCTCAGCCATTTCAGGCAGTTGTAGTTATCTGAATGAAAGGCCGTCTTGGGGTTTTGGTCTTTAAAAGGTTAAAAAAATTTGTGATCCCTTCTGGTTTTGCACTAATTCTTCTAATAAAGAGGTTGAGAACACCCGCATCCTAAGACTCAGGACTTTACTTGAGAATTTTCCTGATAAAGTTTCCTTCCAATGGATTCCCTCTCACTGTGGCACTGAAGGAAATGAGAGGGCTGATATCTTTCCAAGAAGGGATCTCCATCTTCAGAGACCTCTCGTGAAATTGCGATTCCATCCAGCTAAATTGGAAGAAGCTAGGATTTCCAGGTGCTTTCTTCATGATACAGCTTTACGTCTTTCGAATTGTAGACCTTGGAATGTACTCTCTTCTAGACCACAACTTGTTCCTGACTCACCTTGTGCGGCTGCAGATGCAACTTTTAGAATGTTAACTGGACACAATTGCCTCTATGCTCATCTTTTTCATTTTAACACCATGGACTCTCTTATGTCTTCTCTGTGTATTACTGGAAAAGATGACTGCTTTACATTTGGACAAATGCCCCGCACTATCTGTTTTCTTGTTGTGTGGCGAGATATTGGACATCCCGTTTTCTAATGACCTAGTGGCCGAATGACAGGCATTTGATAAATAAAAAAAAGTAGTTACAAATGGAGTTTGATTTTAAATAAATACTGCCATTTCGGGTAGATAAGGCGCCTTGGCATATATGTCATGCTGCCATATGTACCACAGCAAAGCAATCCCAAACATGACACTTAATATTCATTTATTCAGTTTTTAGGTTTACCCTCCAAAAGTTACCTTTTTTTGCAAGCCAGTCAAGAGGAACCTGCTGTCCGACTGTTGGTTCTGATGGATAATGTCTTTCATTTTATGAATTTAAAATACCAATTAAGTCCTCCAATAAAGTTTTTAACGCCTATTTGTTAAGCAATTACTTTTGATTGAAGGGAAATTCTAACTGTTGACATTGATAATTCCTTTCCTCTCTACTCTACATTCATTTCTCTAAATTATTATTTTCCAAACTAGGCCAGGCTATGATGCCAATCTGACAAGATCTTTTATTCTTAGGTATTTTCTCCTTCTTCAGACTTCCACTATTGAACTCATCTCTTGATATTCCTAAGTTGCACACTGATTTCCAATTCCTATCACTTTCTTCACTGCCGAAAGCTTAAAAGCAGGCATATAAATTTTTCTTCAAGTAGGAGCCATAATTATAATAATTTATAAAATTCAACATGTTCAAACAACACTAAGCACCGGAACATGCAAGCAATAAGCATGTCACATTAACAGTCGGACACGGATAAGAATGAACATAGAATTTGGCAAAATAAAAGTTCTTGTGGCCGTAAAACAGAAGATAGTCATCCAAAAATACAGACAAAACCACAGAGTTCATCAGAAAGTGTATGCATTACAGTGTCTTTACACCAAGCAAACCCTACCATAGTTAGGTAAGTTTCATGCAAATTCAAATTTTTAGTGCCTTAACACGACCTATGTGTTTGTATTAGGCCAAAACGCCACAGCGAATTCTACATTCACTGTTTCATCTGTGCATATCTCATGATTTAAACTAGTGAAGTCTTAAAGACAGAGGAAAAATAAAATTCCTTCAGATGCACCACTCCAGCGCATATAATTCAGATTTAACTTTTCAACTTTTAAACATGGCTTATCTACCTGAAATCACAGTGCGATATATACAGTACAAAGTCCGTAATCCGGACGTCCATTATCCAGAATGATCTATAATCCGGACCTCAAAGCCACAAACTTACGCATGTGCGTAAAGCCAGTAAAGCGTTTACCCATGTGTGCTTGCGATAGTGAAGAAAGTAACAGAGAATGTTATTGAAAAAAAAAAATTTCGATAGACAAGTTAGTCAGTATTCTCGACACAGCAATTATAGGACTTGAACAGCAGAACTTTGTAACTGAACAAGAAATTACATCTGTTTATAGAATTAAAGAGAAAGTATTATCACATAAAAAAGCAACTTAAACAACTTACATTGAAAGAAATGTTTAATAAAGTAAACAAATAAATATGAAGCTTTTTTTTTGTAAATTTTGATACCCTTTAGATCATAATTGCTCTTTATTTTATAAATTACGGTTTCATATTTTTAATTGTATAATTTCTGCATGCCATCTTACCAGATTTAAACTGATGATCTATAATCCGGAAAAAACCCTAATCCGGAATCGCTGAAGTTCCGACGAGTCCAGATTACGGACTTTGTACTGTACAAGTATACTCCAAAACGCATTTTAACAGTTATTTTCTGGTGGCCACAGTTAAGCAATTGTTGTTAATAATGCATCAAACATATTATCATGGCTGAGGTGATGCCTGAACATGAATTCTGCTAAGTATCGTTCTACATGATGGTGAGATGTAACCATCTTTTTTTGTTTTCAAACCGTGTTATGTTTAATATGTATTGGGGTTTTCATAAATACTTTTTTGTGACTTTTTGGTGGGGTTTTGAGTAATAAGAAAGCACCTTTTTAAGTTCCTCAAAATTAGAGTTTGAAAGATTACTTCCTTCTTTCATCAATCAGTGCTGATCAAAATACTGTAGTGCAGTTTCAGCACATGCTTATTTGAATTAATTTGA